AATAGACGGCGGAGAAGTTTTTCAAAGCTAAAAGTTTTGATGAACTTCTTTGAATAGGGCGTGGGACGGACTAAAGATAGTCTCCTAAGCCTATTCCGATAAAAACCATATGGAATAAGCTTACCAGGTATCAGATTAGGGACAAGTTGGGTACCAAATGAACGGCAAGATAACGAAGATGATGAATATCCAGAGGGGATAGGGGCTGGTGTGTTAGATCCCGTGGGACTTCGAGATCAACGGGATCTTCGGTCAAAATTGATGGGAATGGATTAGAACGCCGCAGCCGGAATTAGGTCCGATTTCACCCAAAGGCACAGATTTAGACTGGTAGAATAAGCGCCTGGAGCGCTAGCGACTTGGGCGCAGTCGGAACAAGTGCCAACCGGTCAATAAGAAGCAGAGGTATCGTAAAGGCTTGAAACAAGCCTTGGCGATATCAAAACGACTTCGGATGATGGAATTAGTGGGTTCCGGTCAAAAGGGGAATAAACAGTAAAAACAAGAATAAGGCAGCCGAGGGATTATACATGGACATCGTTGGCATAAAACCGATATAAGAGGGATCATCCACCTGAGATGAACCAATTATGTCAGAGGAAAGGCAGGTTGACTGGGGACAGTCAACATTTAAAAATGGGGGAGATGATAAGCCGCGAAATTTGCGAAACCTCAAATTTTACGAATGCATGACATTCAGCGCTCATCCAGAGGTTGGCGTGAGCTCCAAACATGCAACTCAGAGCCATATTGCATTATCATCTTACACTGGCAATAACAGCTTATTCCTGGAAACTTCACCTTTGGGACATTTGGGGGTTGAATCCGGATTAAGGCTCAAAGCCCATACATCAAAGTCCTGAAACACCCTCTATACGTGGGAAGGCAAAACAATGCTCACTATCAAAGGGAGAATCATATTATCCACCTCTGGCATTTATTGGCACGCTGGGAACCTTATTCGGGAGGGGAACACCTAGTTGTTTACATGACTTTGGCTTACCCGATGCGACACGATGGGTCACCTGATCTAGGCCTGGACCTACAATTACTACTCCTATACACCGGATCCGCGACAGCGCGATCACCCGATAAGCCGCAGACCGGATTAAGCTTGTACTGCGTGTTTCTGGATACTGATTAAGGGCATCTGGGGTATCATTGGGAGGGTATTAAACCATACAATCCAGTCAACGAGACTAGAAGTTGAGGCATCTACCACAGAGGAAGATATGGGTCAATTACCCTATTCAGGGGACTAATTACACATATAATCCCCTGATCGACGGGAGTCACTGGACGAACATATAGGATGGCTCAAGTAGCGAATAGGAACGCCAGAACGCACTCCGCTGATACTGATTTCAGGCTAATTAATTAAGTGGAATACCCGAAGCCTAGTAATCACGCACATGTAATAGTTTTTGTACAGTATATAAGGAGGGCAGAACTAGGGAGGACGGGACTGAACCAGACCCCAGAAAGTGAGGAGCAATACAGCCCTTGCGTACAGAGTTGAAGTTTAGGCTTGAATCTTTGGCTGTCAATTAGTCTCAGAATTTAAGTTCGGTTTTGGAATAGCATCAGTGGGATTTATAAGTGTCAGTTACGGGCCATGAGCCATACCAAGTTCGAGGCGTGAGCCATTGTGTGTGTTCGGAGGCGTGAGCCATAGTTACGGGGCGCGAGCCAAGCAAGTTTGAGGCGCGAGCCAAGTCAGTGGAATAAGGTGTGAGCCAAACAACCGGGTCTAAACAGCCCACCGGATTAATAGTCCACCAAAACAAACCGGTCTAGAACCGTTATATCTGCATAGTTGGGAAACTTAAATCCACGTTGGGAACCAACTGATAAATTCAGGTTGTGTCTTGAACGCCACTTCAAGAAACTAGTTGAGACTTAGCCACCCTTGGGGGAACGGGAATTGAATACTTTCGTGACAAATATGTTTACTCGTGGTTTCCTTGGACCTATACTTGTGTCCAAAAAGACCTGAATCTCGTCAGTGCATCAAGGTCATTAAGGGAGTGTGTTGGTGTTGGAGTCTGTCTATTGTCGGTTTAGTCGTGCTTAATCTCACTTTGTGAGTTAGGTGTAACTCAGTCGTTCGATAGGGGGGATTTTGGCAGTTGCATATTTAGACCGTTGAACCTGAGCAACCCTTTCAACGGTGGGGAATCTGTGCGAACTTCTTGTAGAATGAATATTGATACAACAATCAAAAGTACAACGCTTACCTCCATCAATCACAATGGTCAGCGCCCGACGAACCAAAGTGGCAATATGAGGTAACATCTGTGATATTACCATCGCGTTCCTTGAAAGGTATTCGGTACCGATAACCATGTGTTCTGCGGACAAATGGTGCTCCAAAATCCAATATGAGAAGGCCGAAAGGCCATCACACCCATGAAGCTCAATGCTATCAAAGCTCTCGGTGTTTGGCACCAAGTGAGATGAGGGTCGTTTGAACTCGCAGTGAATGAATTTCAAACTGCGCATTGAGTTGGACCCATAGACATTAAGAGCTGAGGAATCAGGAAAACACCAATTGGAAAAGCTAAGGGATGCAGGGGATAGAGCCTGCAGTGCAGTCAAGATGCTGGGTTGCAACTGAAATGTGTGGGCGGTAGAGATATCTGGTTGCAACTGGAAGCTGTGTGTCCTCGGTCCACATGGGAACAATCCCAATGATTTCAAGCCATGGAGGAGGGGTAAGATCTCCACAACAGATTGCTCAATTGTTGTCCATGAATGCGCAGAGGCCCTAGTATCGGATGGAATTTCAGAGTCTAATGGGCGTAGACCCAGGTTGAGGGTCTGAACATGCACGGCAAGGTGAGGAGCCCCCTGCAGCAGCTCACGGAAGGCCTGGAATGAATCCAATACTTGACCCAAAGGTGGAACATCCACAAGCCCTTCCGCAAACCCACCCTGTAGGCTGACACCAAGGGAAATGGTGTGGAAAATCCAGGTTTGTGCCAGAGGCTGCCATGCATGGGATACCAGTGCACACTGGGATAAGCATGTAGAATCAGTGATGAGATGCTTGAGTACGGCGCTGATGAGTTCCAGTGGAACGTTGTGCATTGAGAGTTGAGTAGAAAACATCTGAATCTGTTCGGCCATCAAACACCGTCACTGGGTCCCGAGCAAGCGCCAGAAGCTGAAATATTGTTTTATGGAGCCGCTAGCAATCAAGAGCATCACAGAGCGGATGTAAGGAGAATAGAGGGCCTTTCAGGACCACAGAATAGGTCATACTGAAGGTTTTTTCAAATATGTTGTGCAACTTTTGAAATGTTGTGAAACAAGAAAACATGTTGTGAAATAGAAAATATACTGTGTCTGACCTACAAGCGGGTCACAACAACTCTTTTGGAAAGTATCTTCATAACTGGCGCAGTTATGGACAATCTGAAAACAGAGATCTCTGCATAAATGAGTTCTAAATGGTCCATGATGCCTACACATTTTATTCAAGGCCAGCCAATGGCCTCGGCGAAATATTCATGTCGAGATCAAGGATTTGATGATTGACCTAGTACCGGGTCACGGCCTCCGATTGGTCGATCAGCATCTTTTGCTTATGTCATCCGCCCTTTTACGACGCGTCCTTCTCTAGATTTTGTGCGCTGTGAATTGTCCACACCCATTGCTCAACTGAAAACGAAGCTATTACACTCCAATATTATGTAGATTGTCAATCATTCAGTTTCGAAGCGATTCCTCGATATATTGGGTGGCTAATTGATGTTTGCTTTCAGCTGGTCACCCTACATTCGGCGCGTCGTCTCGACGTGAATATGGCGTATATAGGCTCGGACTTTTGTTCACATAGAATTCACATACATTAAATGAAATCCACCCAATTTCGGATCCAGGATCATCCCATACAGTGCCTAGATAAAGCACATAAAAAGGAGAGCAATTTTCTTTTTGAGATGTATAAGAAACTCAATAGGGCACTTTCTGCACGCTGAATATGGCTGGTTTTGAGGCCTCTGTATAGTCTATAGCTCCAATGGAAGGTCCTCGCACGGCTGAACGGCTTCTGGTTTCCTTGAAGAGGAGGTAGACAGCAGAAGAGATTTCAGAAATCACCCAAAATGGTATTTTGATCCAGTTGCGGCCAAAATCACCCTCGTTCTCCAGCACTTTTAGCCCGACTCTCCTCTCCTCCTGGGACCAAGGCCGTTGTATGTTAGGGTAGATATTGTACAAATTAGATTCTGCATAAATATCACCCATATCGAGTTATTTGTCGGCTGACCCGGTAGTGGGTCTGACCCGATCGGGGGTCAGACACAGTATGTTGTGAAACAAAAAATATATGTTGTGAAACAGAAAATATATGTCGCGAAACAAAAAATATATGTTGTGAAACAAAAATATATAGTACAAATAATAAAAGTGCATTCTGACCGCCATAGATGTCTCTGTTCTGTGAGAGCATATCACACATCCTACTACGTCATCCTGCAGACAAGTAACATCTCCGAGTTAACAGGCCAGGGAAGTGTTTCAACATCCCTGCAGGTGCTCTAGTCCCCCCCCAGAATCTGATAGAAACTCCTCTCACTCAGGAAATCCATGTTTTTGTTCAACAAAGTGGACGGGATCAGAATATTCAACATAGTAGGGTGTTTTATAAAAGCGGTCATGTTTTTGCTCCAGGAAGCACAGCCAGTCAATGAAAGAGGGGGCAGTGAGTTGGAGTTGAAGTTGGATGTTAATACATGGTTCAGACCCCGACTCCTCTTGTTGTGCGTTGACTTGACGTGAAATTTGGGTCAAAGTTGGGCACAAAATCTAATTATGAAAATCCCTATTCTGGACTTGCACTTACTCTGTGCTCAAGTGATCGGCTTAGAGATTCTCAAATTCCACAACATTATGGCCATCTAACGCAGCCCTGAAGCACAGGAAAAATGCACGCGAAGACTTGAGAACCTTAAACCCGAACAAAAAGGGCCAAAAATTGATGCATTTACATTTTTTGCTTTGAGAGGGAATCGAACCCCCGGCGGGTCGAGTCACGGTTACGTAAGCCGAAATGGCAACGACCCAGGTTACCACTACCCCACCAAAGCGATAGATGGTTGTGCACTAAGTCCGATAAAGAGGGGAAGTTTAAGGAAGAGGGAGAAGATGCACGGAGTGGGGTGGGGTGGGGTGGGCGTGTTAGAGAGAGAGAAGGAGCAGAGAGGGGACGGGACGTGAGGGGAACAGGGACTGGAGTGATGTCATTTGGACTTTGGGGAGTTTGATTAACGCGTCGTTGGGAGTCTTGTTTATTTACGTCAGTACCGAGTGACGTGACAACATCCCCGTAACACGTCTTCCACACCCGACGATGGATCGCCCGCTGGGCCCACGGCAGCAACCGCCCGAGCGGCATGCGGCGTACGAGGACATCTTCGGGCGCCGGGCCCGCCCCACCCCCGGCGCCGGCGCATCCCCGTCCGTACACCCTAACCCCCAATACGGCCAATACCAGCAAGGATACCCCCCCTACCAGCAGTACCCCCCCGCCTACCCCGCCCCCTACCCTGCCTCGAACCTCGGCCAGTACACATACCCAGCACAGCAGCGCCGCTACCCCCACCCGCCCACGCCACTGCACCCATACCCGCCCCCGGCCCATGCGCCGTCCCACCTCGGTCCCCAGCCGCAGGGCCTCCCGCCCTCGGCCCTCGTCCCCGGCGCGCACTCGCCCGCGCCGCCGCCGCACCCGCGCCCGGACGCGCAGGGCCTCACCCCCGCGCAGGCGTACCAGGCGCAGGTCGCGCAACGCCCGCCCGCGCTCCCTGCGCTCGGGCCGCAGGACGCGGGGCTGGGCATCGACTTCAGCAACTCGTTACAGCCGACCGCGAACGGGCACAGCGCTGGGGGGAGCTGGGACGCGCGGAGTCTGATTGGGGGCGGGGAGGCAAGGGCGTTGGGGACGCCACCGCAGGAGGGAGACGAGGAGGGGTTTGAGGATGAGGAAGACGGGGAGAGCGAGTTGCCTTGGGCTAGACGTGAGTCTCATTCTTGCTATCTATTATCTCTATCTACACGACGCACACAACAACGTCATCATCCTCATCTAACCGTTATTTCCGGACGGGCCTAGCCTTCTCCCTCTGCCTCTTGCCATTCCACTCAACTAACCCTTTCCACAGCAGCTGGTGCGGCACCGCCGATGATCGTAACCGGTCAACGTGAGTCCTTCTCCGCTTTCCGCCCGCTGTCCTGCATTTCACCACCGCTGGTACCCATCTGCATCTCCCGCCGTCTCCTGTCGTGGCATTGTGACGCACGATCGGCGTCTACGTCTCCGGCGTCTCCTGTCGTGGCGTTGGTGCGCGCCCTTAGGTGGCCTGCGCTCCGCCGTCTTGCTAGCGCTTCTCGTGTACGGGCCTTGTGGGAAGCTTGGTTTGATTCGTACCCTTTGCATGTTCCTGCTTTCTTTTATTCCGGCTGGACCTCTTGATTTTTTTTTTTTTTTCATTTTGTTCCGGCTTCTTTTCTTTCCTTTCCGAGGCCTTGTTTTCTTTTCGTCTTCCTGCTTTTCGCCTTGCACTCTTCCCCGAGACAACGATAGCTGACCCATCTTTTTTTTTTTTTGGCAGAACAACGTGAGTTTGGCCTTTCTGTTTTCGATTTTCAATATTTCGTCTTGCTTTCGGTTCCGCGGTTTGCGTTTCTTTTTTTCTTTTATTTTATTTTGGGGGCGCGGTTTGTGTTACCAGTCGGGGAGGGATCGGGGACGGGGACGCAGCCCAGGTATCCGTCTCGCCGTCTTGGGGTGAGATGGGCGTGCTCGGGTACCCGACTTTGGCACTTTGGCGCGCCGCACGACCTTTTTGCGCGTCTTGGTCCGCTTTTTTTGGGCGTTCGGGGGGGTTGCGTAGTGGCGGAGCGGATGCGTGACGGTGGTGGCGATGCCGGCATCGTGGGTCCTGACGCCGGGATGACGTCTGGCGTCCAACGTTTCTCGTCTTCGCTCCCGTATTTTGCGTCCCCGTTTTCTTTTCGCGTTTCTTCCGCGCGCGTATGTGGTACTGATGTTTTTTGCAGAACGTGAGTGCGGTGTCTGTTTCTGGGACCTGGGCTCGGGCGGGGTACCGAATGGACGGGGAGGAGACGGGTGTGCTGCGTGCCCACCCCGGCGTCCCGCGTCGCCGCCCTCCCGTGCATCTCCCGCTCCCGTCGTCGTCACGACCGCTATTTATGGCGGCGGGCTAATAGACGTTATGGGAGCAAGGTTCTCTCTGATAGACGCTGTGCCCGTGCTGACGACAACCGCTGACGATACTGTGGATGACGACCGTGCCCTATATCGGGGGCGATGTTGATCTCGATATCTCTATTGCTGCTGCGGGCTATACTATTTGGGGGAGCAGAGACGGTGCGCTGGCGCGCGTTGCGAGGTGTGGGTGTGCCGGCGCGGCCATCAGGGGGTGGGTTGGGTGTTGCTGGCGTGCGGTGTGCGCTCTGTCCTTTCTTTCTTTGTCACCGGCGACTTGGCCTGTCGGTTTTTCGCTTCCGCTTCATTTCGGTTGTGTCGCTTCGTCTCGATTTACCTTTGCCTTTGCCGAGAGAGGACACGATGGCTAACCTGGCTTTTCCCCGCACAGCACAATACGCGCCGCCGCAATACGCGCGGCCGCCGCCGCCGATCGGGCACTACCCGCACGCCCGGGGCGCGATCCCAGCGCACCGCTTCTCCAATGCATCGGACACGCCGCCGACGTCGATCCGCTCCTCCGTGGCGAGCTCGTCGACGTCGCCGACGTCCCTGGAGCACGAGGTCCCGCCCGGCGGTGGGGGCGGGCAGCTTAACGGGAACGGGCGGCGCTCGTCCGAGACGTCGCGCACGCTGCCGCGCCTGAGCGGCCCGCGGCGCGAGCGCACGGGGCAGGACCGCGCGATGAGCATGTCGTCCGCCGTGACGGCGTCGACGGCCACGCTCGGGCCCAACTCGTCCGTCATCTCGCACGCGCACTCGACCGCGTCGACCTTGGTGGCGAGCAAGCCCGCGCGGGCGCCGATCGTATACCCGGCGCTGCTGTCGCGCGTCGCGGACGCGTTCCGGCAGCGCGTGCCGCGCGCGGACCGGGTCAAGGACGGGCTGACGTACCACGACGCGTTCGACGGGCGCGAGGCGGTCGACCGCATCGCGCACATCATCAAGACGACGGACCGCAACCTCGCGCTGCTGCTCGGGCGCGCGCTCGACGCGCAAAAGTTCTTCCACGACGTGACGTACGACCACCGGCTGAGGGACAGCGTGGTGGAGCTGTACCAGTTCCGGACGAAGCTGCCGAGCCCGTTTGGGAGCGGGGAGGCGCTCGCGGGGCAGGGGGAGGGCGGGGGCGGGGGCGGGGAGATGCTGCTCGGGGCGCCGGCGCCCGCGCAGGTGATGTCGCCGGATTCGTTCGATGCGCCGGGGGGGCTTGAGGGGGGCGGTGGGGGCGGGGAGGTGGAGGAGGAGGCGCCGCTGCCGACGGGCGTGTTCACGCTGCTTGCCGACTGCTACAGCCCGACGTGCAGCCGCGACCAGCTGTGCTACAGCATCGCGTGCCCGCGCCGGCTCGAGCAGCAGGCGCGGCTGAATATGGGGCCGCAGCCCGGGCTCCGGAGGGTGCGTCTCTGTTAAAGTTTGATGGAACTAGCGATGCTAACGAGCCGTGCAGGAGGCCTCGCGCGAGTCGCTCGGGGACGCGGAGCCGGACGCGGGGACGCTGTGGATCCACTCGGTGCCGGCGGAGATTGTCGCGAGCGTGAGCGACGCGGAGAAGAAGCGGCAGGAGGCGATCAACGAGGTGATCTACACGGAGCGCGACTTTGTGCGCGACATGGAGTACCTGCGCGACATGTGGGTCGCGCGCCTCGCCGCGGCGGACATCATCCCCGCCGAGCGCCGCGAGCACTTTTTGATACAGGTGTTTTGGAATGCGCATGATATTATTACGGTCAATACCAAGGTGCGTGCTCGACTTTTTCTTTTGGTTAGTAGGGAAGGGCTGATGAAGGGGTGTAGCTGCGGGACGCGCTGAACAAGCGGCAGCGGGCGTATGCGGTTGTGGAGAAGATTGGGGACATTTTCATGGATGCGGTGCCGCATTTCCAGCCGTTTGTGAGCTATGGGGCGCACCAGCTGTATGGCAAGTACGAGTTTGAGAAGGAGAAGAGCGCGAATCCGGCGTTTGCGGCCTTTGTCGAGGTGCGTTCTCGCCTTGCTAGCCATGACGCAGTGCTGAGGATTGCAGACGACGGAACGGCTGCCCGAGTCGCGCAAGCTCGAGCTGAACGCGTACCTGACCAAGCCGACGACGCGGCTCGCGCGGTACCCGCTCCTGCTCGAGGCGGTGCTCAAGCACACGCCGGACGACTCGCCGGACAAGGTCATCCTCCCGCAGGTCGTCGCGCAGGTGCGCGCGTTCCTCTCCCGCGTGAACGAGGAGTCGGGCCGCGCGGAGAACCGCTTCAACCTCGCGCAGCTCGACTCGGAGCTCAAGTTCAAGCCCGGGGAGCACGTCGTGAGTGTTGCCTCTGTGTGTGGTGCGTTTGGGTGCTGACGATGGGACAGGATTTGCGGCTGCAGGAGGAGGGGCGCGAGCTCGTGTACAAGGGCGTGCTGAACAAGCGGGACGGGGAGCTGCAGGTGTATCTGTTTGACCACGCGCTGCTGTTTGCGAAGCAGGTCAAGACGAAGACGCATGAGCAGTATCGGGTGTACCGACGGGTGCGTGGTGGTCTTGTGTTCTCTCTGATTCTTGCTGAATGGCCATTAGCCGATCCCACTTGAACTCCTGCTCATCCGCGCGTCGGAGGAGCCGGCGAACGGCAAGGACAAGCGCACGCGGCAGCTCGTGCGCAAGTCCTCGTTCGGGAGCACCGCGCCGCGCGGCTCGCCGCACCCGCCCGCGGTGAGCATCCGCCCCGACGCCAAGGGCCCGCACTGGATCACGTTCGAGCACCTCGGGCGCAAGACGTACAACCTCGTGCTGTGGGCCAACTCGGCGCTCGCGCAGCGCAAGTGGGTCGAGAACATCTCGAAGCAGCAGACGGCGATGCGCGAGCGGAGCATGGTGTTTGACAC